TACAATAGCCAAGAGTTGGAACCAGCCCAAATGTCCATCATCAGATGAGTGGATATGGAAAATGTGGTATATCTACACAATGGAATACTGTAATTCAGCTATAAAAAAGAATGAAATACTGCCATTTGCAACAACATGGATGGATCTTGAGAGAATTATATTAAGTGAAACGAGTCAGGCACAGAAAAAGAAATACCACATGTTCTCATTTATTGGTGGGAGCTAAAAATAAATAAATTCATGCACGCACACACACACAAAACCAGGGCAGAGGAGAAGATATAACAACTACAATTCCTTGAAGTTGATATGAGAAGCAAAGAGAAAGGACATTGTTGTATGGGAGGGAGGAGAGGGAGGAGGGAGAGAGGTTTCGGTAATGGGCCACAATAATCAACCACATTGTATATCGACAAAATAAAAATTTAAAAAAACAAAAAACAAACAACAAAAAATTATATTACAAAGCTATTGTAACCAAAACAACATGGTACTGGCATAAAAACAGACATTCAGATCAATGGAAAAGAATAGAAAACCCAGGAATCAACCCACATACTTACAGTTAACTTATCTTTGACAAAGGCAACAAAAACATACATTGGGGAAAAGACTACCTCTTCGACAAATGGTGCTGGGAAAATTGGAAATCCATATGCAGAAGAATGAAACTGTACATGTACCTCTCATCATATACCAAAATCAACTCAAAATGGATTAAGGGCTTACATATAAGATCTGAAACCATAAAATTACTAAGAGAAAACATAGGAGAAATACTCCAAGAAGTAGGACTGGGCAAAAACTTTCTGAATAAGACCACAAAAGCACAAGCAACCAAAGAAAAAATAAGCAAATGAGATTATATCAAACTAAAAAACTTCTGAACAGCAAGGGAATCAACAGAGCAGAAAGACAACCCACAGAATGGGAGACAATATTTGCAAATTCTACATCTGACAAGAGATTAACATCCAGAATATATAAGGTACTCAAACAACTATACAATAAAAAAATAATCCAATCAAAAAATGGGCAAAGGAGATGAATAGACATTTTTCAAAGGAAGACAAATAAATAGCCAACAGGTAGATGAAAAAATGCTCAGCATCACTAGTCATCAGGGAAATGCAAATCAAAACCACATTGAGATTTCATCTTACCCCAATTACACTGGCCATTATTAAAAAGACTGAGAATAACATATGTTGGCAAGGATGTGAAGAAAGGGGAACTCTTCTGCACTGTTGGTGGGACTGTAAATTAGCACAGCCATTATGGGAAATAGTATGGAGGTTTCTCCAACAACTATAGACAGGACTACTATATGACCCAGCAATTCTACTACTGGGTATATACCCAAAGGAATGGAAATCATTATGTTGAAAGAATACCTGCACTCCCACATTCATCACAGCTCTATATACAATAGCCAAAGCATGTAACCAACCTAAATGTCCATTGACGGATGACTGGATAAGGAAAATGTGGTATATATACACAATGGAATACTACTCAGCCATAAAAAAGAATGCATGAAATTCTGCCATTTGCAGCAACATGGATGAATCTGAAGAAAATTATCTTAAGTGAAATAAGCCAGACACAGAAAGAGAACTACCACATGTTCTCACCCATAACTGGGTGCTAAGAAAGAAAGAAGGAGGAGGGCGGGGAGAGAGAAAAGAAAGAAAAGACCACAATAGTATGTTGAACTTTCAGGAGGAGAGAACAAACCTAAGGCCACTAGAGATGAGAGGGAGGGAGGGAGAGGGGTTGGGGAGTGATAGGTCAGGTGGAAGGCATGGGGAAAGAGTACCATTTACAACGATGAATACGCTAATAGTAATAAATCAATAAGAAATCAGGGAAATGAAACTAGCAACATGTACATTTTCTGATTCTCCTGGCATGTGCTGTCAAAGTGTGCCACCTGCTCCCGCCACCCCCACCCCCCCAAGCAACTCAAGAAACCAAAATGTTCAGCAGCCAGGTACTGACAGCAGTGCCTCTGGGTAAGGAGATTAATAGGTGGCTTTTTTTTTTTTTTTTGCCCTTCTACATTTTGGTACTTTCTAAACTTTCTTTAATGTACCTTAAAATAGAACAAACAAACCAATATATATTTTTTCCAAACAGCTCAAGTGACTACCAGTTTAACTGAATGTCTTTTCTCTTACATTAGATAGAAACAGACACTGCAGAAACAACATAGAAACATTCCCTTTTACAAACCCAGCAGATAGTATCTATCTACCCTTTTAAAGGACAAGGCAGAGAAGTCAGACAGTGTCTTTATCAACCTAAGCTAGTGGTTCTCAACTTTGGCTGAACATTAGAATAACCAGGAGATATTTTGAAATTCCCACTGCATAGTCTGTACCCAGACTCATTAAATCAGACTCCCTGAAGGGGTGGTGCTCAGGCATAGATATTTTTAAAAGTTCCCAGATGAGCCCAGTGTGTAGCCTGGATGAGAACCACTGCTCTATGGCATTAATGGCTGTTTTGCCATTTCATCTGATTTTCAACTCTGGGGCACATCAGAATCACTGAGGGATCTTTTAAAAATACAGATGCTGGGGTCTTACCCATAGAGATCTGAGTCAGTTGGTCAGAGATGGGACCCAGACATCCATATATTTTTTGAAAGATCCACGGGTAATTGGGAAATGCAGCCCAGGGTGGAGAATTATGCAGTGAAGACTTACTTTTCAGTCCCTTTAGAGCAAGCTAATGACCCAACATGATAGCAGGACTCAAAACTAATCTTAGTTAGATCTGAAGCACATTCTGCAATGTCACTATTTTACATACCAGAGGAAGTGCGATGAATATTAATTGTTGAATTCAGTTCAGGGCTTCCTTGGTCCAGATAAATTATGGCTTCTATGGGAAGAGGTCCTGAACATTCAGCTCCATTGAATGTGAAATACCAACGCTGACAGCATGCGTTTCTGCATTTTAGCCGAAGCGAACCACTAAACAAAACTCTTAGAGCACTGTTTGAACGCATCTTTGTAAATGTACACTCCTGTCACAGCACAGAAATAGGGTTTAATTAACATTTTCCATTTTAATTTTAAAAAGGCTTTGAAAATGTATTGTGAATTTTACTTAACTATCTATCCCTTTCCCCAAACTGTATTTAAAAAGCTTAACTTTTACAGAGGGTGAGAGATTCTCTCTGCACAATAGGGAAGAGTATTTGATATAGGAATGCTAAGAAAATCAAACTATGATTTTTTTAGAATTATTTGCCCCATTTAGGGTATCTTTCAGTTTTATCAAAAACAGCTAGTCTTCAGTACTTTTGACCAAACTAATCTATATAGTTCCTTTTTTTTTTTTTTTTTGCCATTCAAAAAATATTCGCTAAGCTCCAACTATAGTACAGATACGGCAGTTAACAAAACAGATTCCCTGCCCTCCTGAATTTACATTATAGACTAGTGGTGTCCATACATATTCACTCTTGACCTGTTTCTTTTTGAGCAATAGCTAGTATGAGGGGGTGAAGCATGGGTGGGGTTTTTAGTCTTTACCTATATGACACAATGATAAAGCCCACTTTTTTTTTTTTTCTAATATGGTCTTTGCAAAATTTGTCTGTCTGTTGGCTCATGGTCCTATTATCTTTTATTTGCAGAAGGTCCCATACTACCCATCCTGACCACTGCTAAAAGGCACTTTAAAACATATTAATAATTAAGAATCCATAAGGATAGCTTTTAGAAAGAACCAGCAACTTTTGATGAACAGCTATTAGTAAGCAACCAGTCTATTAATGTCAGATGTTTAAAAAAGTAGGCAACATTTTAACAAAATGCTTTCTAAGAAATCATATATGAACATAGAAAACTGCACAGTCACCAAAACGATGAAAGCTATGTGGAAATTCTATCACACAAAAATCAAATCAAGACAGTCTCAAACTCTTTTATAGATAATAAAGCAGAAAGAGCCGAGCTGAGGAACAGGGATAATGCACAGATTGCATCTTAAAATCTTAGAATTTTATGAAAATAAAATCTCGTCTATTTGCCTGATGGTATTGGTAGTTAAAATCGTGAAGTAATATGTTGTGGATAGGGAACCATGTACAGAGCTGGCCAACGAGAGGACAGAGGCTCACAAATAGCACTAACTTCTTCAACTCCATTCCATCCTAGTGGACTTGCCAATTACTTTTGAAGCAAACGCTAATCATAAAGACTGAATCGTTAATCAAAATACATTATCAGGTAAGCTATTTTGAATAAATCCTCCCTCCTATTAGAACTATTCAAATAGTTATTCTAAATATTTTAGAATAACTTAAAATGATCACTTTAGTACATCCCATCTGGTCCATTTCACTTCTCTTAGGCTTAACAATTTTAAGCTGGGCTCGCTACCTGGAATAAGGAAAAATACCAGTGGCCTTTCTGCTTCCAGATAATTCCTGTCTTAGCAATTTCCTGGAAATTTCTTCCCACCTTTATGTGTGAAGCCAGGCCAGAATTTCTTAGACAGAATTTCTTAAATTTAAATCCACTTTAGGGCAAGATTGGAAAGTTGCTTACTGTCCAACATGGACACCTATGCTCTCCTTTTTTGTTTGCATTTAAAAAAAAAAGAGTAAGTTATTTTAGATATTATGGTTTAAACAAGATGATTTATCTTATTGATATCTTTATGAAATTAACTCAAATGTTGCCAATTTTTTTCATTAATTTTAAGTTGAAAGCACATGCTACCTATTCCTTATAGTTTTTTTTAAGTGTTTTGGCTGAAAAATAAATAAATAAAAATAAAATCTTACCTGAAAATTAACATTCAAATATAGAAACCCTTAAATTTTGCTTCAACTTTAAAATAATTCAGATTTTACTTGCCGCGATTTTTCCAAGATCTATGCCATAATTCAGTGAACTCCATGAACACTGCTTGTAGTTAGGTGTCCAGGACTCCTCAAAGCTTTCCCGCAAGCATTCCCCTTTTTCTCCTTTGAATCCATCTCGACCTGGGATTCCAGGGGTACCAGGAATGCCATTGGCCCCAGGGCTCCCATCTCGACCAGGCACTCCTGCTGGCCCTTGTAAGCACATTCCATTATACTACAATGAGAAAGGAAAGGGAAAATTAACTGTCAACAGTTAAGAGTCGAAGACTGAATATGATTAAAATTGCATTTATGTTGAGCCCTTGGAGTCAAGAATCCCTTTTTTACCACTTGTCATGTTCTCTTGATGAGTTACTATAGAAAATTCATTTTAAAATTATTTCTAAAATATTGTGATTTCTTACATATTTTTTATTGCACAAACACACACACACACACACACACACACACACACACACGCAAATCAAACAGGACAAAATGTTTTCATTTGCCTGCTCCTTTCTACTGCTCATTAAGCATACATAAGAGTACTTCAAAAAATTTGTGGAAAAATAGAATTAAAATATAATACAAATCTTTCCATGAACTTTTCGAACTACCCTCATATAATTTTAAATGGCTGTGTTCCAAGGTGGATATAATTTGATTATTCTTTTTTTTTTAACCCTCTATCTTGTAAAGGAGCTTGGATTTCATAATTATACTTTTACAATTTTTTGCAAATATAGCACTATTTTTGGATATTTAATTTCTATTTTTCTATCATTATTATAATGAATATATTTATTAATATAGCTTTTATCTTCTTTGGAATTACTTCCCCAAGATAAATTCCTAGGGCCATAATTGTAAAATAAAATCTTAACGGTCAATAATTATCTTGTATTGGCGATATCTCTAAATTGGAGATACACATTCCCTGCTTCTGCTCCCTGTTTTTATGGGGGGAAGTGGCACTAGGTTAACACTCTGGCCTCCAACCTCATCACACCACCCAAGGAGAAAGCATGAGTGAGTCAGTTGCAGGTGACCATTGGTCCTTGATAGGAAGGCAATAAACTATGAAACCATCTGTAAGTGCTAGGATTCTCTGTTTGCTTTTTTGTTTCGGGGGAGCATGTCTTGGAGAGTTTAAATGCATAGATTATAGAGCCAGTTTCTTTGGATTTTAAACCTGACTCCACCCCTTATTAGCTATGTGAGATAGGGCAAGTTACTCAACATTTCAGTGCCTGTTTCCTTAGTTGTTTGGGAATAATAGAGATTCTTAATGAGTAGGGTTTTATGAGATTTAAGTGAATAGTATACAAAATGTGCTTAGAACAATGTCGGAACACAGTAAACACGGCATAGGTCAGCCATTACTGTTGTTATGATTTCCCCAAGACCAGTGGGACGCAGCAACTGTGGGTAAGTGTGTCCTCTTCCTTGGGTGGACCTTACAGGGTCTAGACCTGGGGAAGAGAGCATTAGCAAACCTGTTGGCTAGTACACATAAGCCACACATAACAATGCTGCCTGATCAGTGGCAGAGGTTATATTTTGAACTCCACCTGTTCAGTTCCTGTGTCAACCCCTGAATTGGTTCGGGTGGGAATAGGGTTACCATTTATTAGACCCTCCAAACCCCAATACACCCCCACTTAAATTTTTACTGTAACATTTCCCCTATTTGTGTAAATTGTCCAATACTATCATTCTGCATAAATATACTGTCTGGTGAGAACAAAAACAAGATTGCTTGTAATAACTTCAAAGCTTATTTCTCAACTTCACTATCTGAGATTGGACATGATCATACTGTAAAATCCAATAATAACACTGTTTAGGAAGAATCCTATATGTAACTAATATTTGCCAATCAACTTGCTTCTCACATCACCAGTTGGATCTTTGTTTTGACAAATGACTTTTTATGACTTTGACATTGCCATTTTCCTGTAAAAAAAAAAAGACACTATTATGTATTTACTATGAGAGAAATAGTAAGAGAAGTCTTTAAAAATTGCAAAAGTATTTGAAGGCATGCCAAAGTACAAAATGTTTTAAAATAGTGTGGTATATTTTAGATTTAATTTTTATTTCAGTAACTTCATTCACTTTCACTAGCAGATAATATGCAATGTATGGACATACATTTCAAGTGGGGAAGGAGAAACAATAAAACTTCTTTTTTATTTGATTTTTTTTTCACTATTATTCCCCTCTGGACAAGATGCTACACAGGCTATTTTATTTTCCTATATATCAGTGGTTCTCAACTAGAGATAATTTCGTCCCCTGGGAGACACTTGGCAATGTCTGGAGACATTTTTGGTTGTCATATCCTGGGAGGCTAGAGGCCAGGATGCTGCTAAACTTGCTTCAATGCACAGGACAGTCCCCCAAAAGAAGAATTATCTGGCCCAAGATGTCAATAGTGCCATGGTTGAGAATTTTTATTCACCTTTTCATCTAAAAACTGCATTTCAAAGACCACATAAATTTATTGGATTCGCTTCCACAGTTATTACACCTGTCTTCTTCTATTTTAAAATGTTAACCCAACACATCATGCTTAGTACCAGGTAGGGATTCAATAAGTGTCTGTGGAATGAACAAAATTGTGAATGGAAGCTCAAGCTCTTCTGCACCTCGTTTCTTTCACTGGCCACCAGGGGGCAGAGCTTGGTGGAAGCTTGAAAGGAATGCTTTGAAAGATCCTATACAAAGAAGTTGCTTTATAGAATCTGTTGAAACCTTCTTAATAACTATGTGAACTTTTTCTGTCCGCAAAACCAAATCCAATCTACAGGATGCACCTGAGTCTGGCGGCACAATAAGCTTTTCCAAGTCAGGCTAGAGTTGTGGGAAACCGCAGGTACTGTAAATCCTTGGAGGGGAAAAAATTGTTAAGCTTTATGGGGAAAAGGGTTATTTTTACATATCATAACTACAAATTCATAAAATGCAAACTTCACATGAATCACATTCATTTGGTACAGTTTTAACAGTTTAGACACTTAAAATAGAACTCTAACCCCGAACACATAGTCTGCTTTTGCGGAGCAAAACTACACAGCATATCACCAAAAGTGCTGTGTGAAATGGCCGGGATTTTTTTTTAAGTGCTTTTGAATCCAGCTAGCTGCCAGGAAGTTTGGTTTACTAGCTGTTTAGAATGGAAGCTTAACAAAATTTGAAACTTTTTTTAAATCAAAAAATGCCCCCTGTCTTACGTCTTGCAATGCCTATAAACCATATTTGTCTGCAAATGAGACTAGAGTAAGGATTAAAGCTTATGGTGTGCACAGGGCTATGGTAGCCGTGAAAGGCCTGCTCTTGCAACAGGGCAGGGAACCTCTCTGCCCTCCACTGGGTTTGTTTACTTTTAGAGGGAAAGAATTTTAAGCAAACAGACCTTCCCACAGATTAGCCCCTCAGAAAGCATTTGGGGTATTTATTTGCTCTCCTGGAAACTGTCTTCTCTGCCTTAGCTTGACTGCAATGTTCCTTCCTGGTGGACACAGTCTGAAGACCCAGGGTGCCTGTAAGAACTGACTGCCCATCTGCTCTAAACAGAACAAAATGGGTCCTTGGAGGGTTCGTGCCGGGCCCCTTCATTTACCCTTCCGGACTTAAACCCTCTGAACCATCCCTGGCCCCAGCTGTGGTCGTCCAAAAAAGTAAATTGCAACCCATACTCCCCAGGAAGATGACCCAACGTGACTCATAGTCTTCAAGTTACACAGAGTTGGACGGATGCTCTGTGAGGGTGGTTATTCTCTCTCGCGGGCAGACGTGGCCACCGGCCCCAGCAAAGGACACGTCCTGGCACGGCCCTGGCCCAGTCCCTGGGGATCAGCGAGTCCAGGGTCTTTCCCAGGCCCATACTCTGACTACTCAAGCTCCTCATTCTACTCCCATTGTCACCCTAACCCCCTCCACCCATCCTAAGGGGTCCCCTTGAGGCCAGAAATTATTGGGTGACTTCCCGTACTTCCAGGCGTCCCACCCGACCTACGTCGCATCGCCTCTCCACAATGACCCTCTCATTTTGGTTTCCCCTCTGAGTCCCAAGACTCCACTGCACACATATCCCAGGTCCCCTCTTACACGTAGACACAAAGCGGGACACCCAGGCGCACGGAAAACACATGATAGCCAGCAGCACAGACATACACCCTCCGACAGCTGGACCGACGCCCTCCCCGTGCGGCTCGCGGCTCTGTCCTCCCCACCAGCGCAGCAGCCCCGGCCCGGCCCCCCGGACTCACCAGGTCCACCACCTCCCTCTGCCGGAGCAGCGCCTTTTGCTTCCCCTTGGGGGTCTCGGAGGCGCTCGACGGCGCGGGCAGCTGCAGCAGCAGGAGCAGCAGGAGCAGCAGGAGGCCGAGGAGCCGCTGCGGGGAGGCGGCGGGGCCCCCGGGGCGCATGGCGCTGCGGTTGCGGGGCTGGCGCAGGAGGCGGAGGCGGAGGCGGAGGAGGGGGCCGGGGAGCCGGGACGTGGTCAGCGTCTGGCCGCACCGAGCTCCGGGGCCGCCGCCGGCTGCGTCAATGCGCCTTCCACCCGCGCGCCTCTTCCTCCCTCTTTCCCTCCCGCCCTCCTCAACACCCGGAGTTTCCAGCCCGTAATAGGCCGGAGCCCCCACCCCAAGCCCGACTTGGGGCGGGCCGAGAGCCGGGCCCGCCCCCTCCTGCCGCGCCGCACCCCCCGCCCGGACCCTCGCGGGGCGCTACAGACCCCGAGGAGAACCCGCCAGCAAGGTCCGGGAGGGGTGGCTGTAGCCAGGAGCCCCAAGGAGAGGCTTCCAGGAGGGGAGTGGAGATAACGCCGCCTAAATGAACATTTTAGAGGCGCGTGTCTTGACCTGGATCCAGCAACCGCTGTCAAGAGTCGTCAGTCCCTGGCATGGGTCTGCAAGCCCTTTTGGGAGGTGACACTTTGGGGAGCGGGAGGTGGGAGAAAGGAACCATAGACATCATAAGGTTCTCCAAGAGTCCCAATACCCAAATGATTAATAATCGCTGTTTTAATAATCTCCTAAACTCCGGGTCCATGCAATGCCTTGCATATATACTCTGTCCTCTTGGCAGTCCTGGGGGGCTAGATACCTCCTCTGCTCGCCCCATTCAAGGGGGCGGGGGGCACTGAGGTTCAGGAAAGTTAATCAGCATTCAGTGGTACAAGTTTGACTACTCACTCTAGACCTGTGATTTATATTATTTTTTTCTAACCCCCTCTGTTCTCCTTTCATTTGTCCTCCTTTGTTCATTTTGGAAGAAAGCATTCTCAGGTACCCAGGCTACCCACCAGTTAGGGGCAGGTTGGAGCAGGAGTTCCTTATACCCCACTGGCTGTAATCAGGCGGAACAGAAGTCTTGCCACACCTGACACAGATGTTGCTAACGCGTGGCAATGCTGCTGAAATCAAATTCAACTCAGCTGGGTTCTCTTTAGAGAAACAGCCTGGTTCCCTGTAGTTACAGTGAACCTAGCTGATGGATATTAAAAAGAAGGAACAGCCTAGTAGGGAAGCACTTCAGGGCAGTTCTAGGAATACTCACTCCTGGGCTAGTGCCTAAGTACAGGTAATTTCATTCCTGATTGTCAGAAGAAGCAAAATCCAAAGGAGTTCCAAAGCCAGAACTGGCTACATAATTTGCTCAGCCTGCTGCAAAATGAAAATGCAGGGCCTTTTGTTAAAAAGTTATTAAGAATTACAAAACGGCATCAACAGAGCAATAAACCAAGTGTGGGGCCTTTCTAGTATGTAAAGTATGTTGGGTGATAAATTCTATGGAAAACAGAAGATGGTAAGAAGGACTAAAAGTGTCTGGCAGTATAGAGGAAGACAGTTATAATTTTGCATAAGGTGGTCAGGATAGGCCTTGTCAAGGGAGGGGTTAGGGTTCACAAAACTTTCAAGCCTGTTGTACATACAGACTGGGTCACAAACCCCTCACACGCAGGGACATGAGCTAGGTAATAGGAAAAAATCCTGGGAACCGTGGGTAACAAGAATTAATAGGCTTTATTCAGAGCTAGGAGCAGCTGCCCTAGTGGCCTCCTGGAGCATCCCAAGGAGCACCATGTATCAGAGCCATTAGTCCTTTATACTTAGACCCATAACCCAGGACACCTGGGTGCCCATACACAATTACATTAGATAAAAATCAATGAACACCTGAGCGCACATAGATATTTACATCAAATGTTCAGCAAGATTCTGAACATATGAGGGGTCCTGACCATTTTCCAATATTTTCCCTACAGACCTCATGAGTAGGTGATATTTGAGCAAAGGCTTGAAGAGGTGAGGGAGTAGGCTGGGCAGCTCTCTCTGAGAAGACTATTCCAGGCAGAGGGTGTCTCCAGCACAAGGGCACTGAGGCGAGAGGGTTCTCAGGCCTTTTTATCACTCTGCACTGCCTGGAATAATCTTTTTATCAAGGGTCAGTTTTACTCTCTTGCTGTCTCCCCTCATGACAGTCAGATGGCCTCAGACACCTCATTCAGGCACAGAAACATTCAGAAAAATATTAGCAATAGTCTGCTCTCTGTCATTTTTAGGAGCAAGGGACCTTCTCTAAAGTTACCTTACAGATCTTGGGTCATGTCTTTTGCCATGATGGATCACATGTCAGTTTCCAAACTAATTGTTAACCAGGGGAATGACTGTAGTTTGGCTTAGACCAATCATTTGAAGTGGAATAGGTGTTGGAAAATTTACTATTATACGTTGTTTTCAACTTACAACCAATGCTGCATTAAATAGCATTCTATAAAATTCTTTTGTACACATCTTTGACTATTTCCTATGGGTAGATTACTAGAAGTGGAATTACTACATCAAAGAGTATGAGCTTTTTAAGGCTCTTTTTAAAAACATTATTTTTTAATTGACAAAACATTGTATATATCTTGTACAACATGTTGTTTTGAAATATATATACGTTGTAGAATGGCTAAGTCAAGCTAATTAACATATGGACCACCTCACTTTTTTTGTGGTGAAAACACTTAAAAATCTACTCTTAGCAATTTTCAAGAATACGGAACCTTGTTATTAACTGTAGTCACTGTGTTGTACAATAGATATCTTGAACTTATTCCTCCTAATTAAAATTTTGTATCCTTTGACCATCACCTCTCCAACCATACACCCTGTCCAGCCCCTGGTAACCACCATTCTACTCTCTACTTCTATGAGCTCAGCTTTTTTAGATTCCATATGTAAGTGAGATTGCAGTATTTGTCTATTTGTGCCTGGCTTATTTCACATAACATAATAACCTCTAGGTTCATTCATGTTGTTGCAAATGAACACATTTCCTTCTTTTTAAAGGCTGAATAGTAGTCCGTTTTGTATCTATACCACATTTTCTTTATTCTTTCATCTGTTGATGGACACTTGAGTTAATTCCATATCTTGGCTCTTGTGAACAGTGCTGCAATGAACATGTGAGTGCAGATGTCTCTTCAACATACTGATTTCATTTCCTTTGACTGTATACCCAGTAATGGAATTGCTGGATTTTATGGAAGTTCTGTTTTTCATGTTTTGAGGAAACTTCATGTTGTTTTCCATAATAGCTGTACTAATTTATATTCCCACCAACAGTGTTCAGGTTTTCCCTTTTCTCCACGTCCTCTTCACATTTGTTATCTTTAGTCTTTTTGATAATAGTTATTCTGATAGGTGTGAGGAGATATCTTGTGGTTTTCATTTGCATTTCTCTGATGATCAGTGATGTTGATCATTTTCATATACCTGTTGGCCATTTGTATGTCTTCTTTTGTGAAATATGTATTCAGATACTTTGCCAATTTTTTAATTGAGTTATTTACATTCTTACTATTGAGTTGGGTTCCTTATGTAGTTTGCATATTGACCTCTTCTTAGATGTATGGTTTGCAGATATTTTTTTCCATTCCATAGGTTATATCTTCACTGTGTTGATTGTTTCCTTGACTGTGCGGAAGCTTTTTAGTTTGAGGTGATTCCATTTGTCTATTTTTGCTTTTATTGCCTGTGCTTTTGGTGTCACACCCAAAAAATCATTGCCCAGACCAATGTCACGAAGTTTTCCCGCTATGTTTTCTTCCAGTAGTTTTACAATTTCAAGGTGTTACATTTAAGTCTTTAATACATTTTTTCCTTTTTTTGTCTTTTTTCGTGACCGGCAATGGATCGCAACCCTCAGTGTCGCGCCCGGACCGGACCGGCAATGGGATCGCAACCCTCGGTGCTGCGTCCGCACCTCACTCAGCCAGTGAGCGGCCAGTCTGCATGTGGGATCCGAACCCTCGGCGGGAGCGCCACCGCGCTCCCAAGCGGTGCACTGTAGCAGTGCGCCACAGGACCGGCCCAGTCTTTAATACATTTTTAGTTGATTTTAGTATATGGTGTCAGATAAAGGTCTAATTTCACTTTTCTGCATGTCAATATCCAGTTTTCCCAGCACCATTTGCTGAAGAAACTGTCTTTTCCTCACTGTGTATTCTTGATAACTTTGTTGAAAATTAATTGGCCATATGTGGGTGGATTTATTTCTGAGCTCTCTATTCTGTTCCATTGATCTTTTGTAGTTCCATACGAATTTAAGGATTGTTTTTTTCTATCTCTGTGAAAAATGTTATTGGAATTTTGATAAAGATTGCATTGAATGTGTAGATTGCTTTGGGTAGTATGGACGATTTAAGCAATATTAATTCTTCCAATCCATGAACATAGGCTGTCTTTCCATTTATTTGTATCTTCTTCAATTTATTTCATCAGTGTTTTACAGTGTTTGGTGTACAGGTTTTTCAACTCCTTGTTTAAATTTATATCTGAGGTTTTTTTGTTTGTTTAGTTGTTGTAAATGAGATTCTTTTCTTGATTTCTTTTTTGGATAGTTTGTTGTTAACATATAGAAATGCTACTGATTTTTGTATATTTATTTTATATCCTTCAACTTTACTAAATTTGTTTATTAGTTATAATAGTTTTTTGTGGAGTCTTAAGGGTTTTCTGTATTATAAGATCATGTCATCTAAAAACAGAGACAATTTAACTTCTTCCTTTCCAATTTATTTCTCTTATGTAATTGCTCTGGCTAGGACTTTCTTAAGGCTCTTGATACTTAATACTAATTATATTTTATAAAAATTATAACCCTTTATACACCCACTACGTGTGAGGGCTCATATCTCTACACCCTTGTCAATCTTAAATATTACCATGTAAAAAAGCTTTGCCACTTTTTTAATTGACCGTGTTTATTGGCCATTTCCCAGTCTTCTGCATGTTTTTTTGTTCAAGTCTTTTACCTTTTTTTAAAATTGAGATATTACTGTATCTCTTAATTGTCATTAAAATTCTTTAATGATTGATATCTTCAAAACATTTAATTTTTCCTCCTAGGGACATAATATGTCTCCCTGTGTTACCAAATACTCTTTTATCCATCAGTAAAGTTTTATGACTTTTGCAATTTAGTACTTATATATTTCTTATCATGGGTATTTGTATTTTATGGCTATTGCAAGTGGAATCCCTCCTTCCAAATATTATATTAAATTTCTATTACTACTTAACA